AGTTCATTAGTTAAAATCTAGATTGGGGTGTCCAATCTTGGCAATTTTAAGACTTGTGGACTTCAATCCCCAGAATTCCCCAGTCAATATGATCAAAATTGCTCTTCTTTTCTTTAAAATCTATAAAAGCTGAGGAGGAGAAAGAGAAAGAAGAGAAATAGCAGTGGCAATTACTTGTGACCCAAGCATGACAGAATCACCCAAAAGTTGAGCTGGAATCCTATCCTGAAATAATATTTTTCTAGAACCTTATTCTGAAAGAAAGAATGGCTGTTGGGTTAAACAACAGAGATTCTCCATACTGCAGTATTTCATTTAAGTCCTATTTGTTCTATTTTTAAAGACGTTACACAAATATTGATCACATACCTTTAGGAGACTCTAGGCAAGTAAAATCTCTGATTTGTTTTTGTTTATTAGATTCCACTTGCACAGGTTTCAAGATATCAAATTATGGTGGATGTGTTCCATAACACATGAGAAAATTTCTTGCCCTTGACTAATAACTTTGAGAATCATTCATGAGGCTTTTATCGTTGATATTCTCCTCCAGCTTAAACTTCCGCCTGTCATACAATTAAGATGAAAACCACAAGACATGCAAGAACTCAAGTGTTCGGTATAGGCTTAGTTAAAACTTGTGGTTTTCTTTCTTTCTTTTTCAAGTGATATGTCATTTTACAGCCTTATGTGATTGCGAAATTTCTTTATGCCCAAAATTGCACTATGTTCTGTGATTTCCTGTACAGAATTTCCCCTTATGCAATGACACACAATATAATCAAGACCTTAAGGAGCATGGTGGCTCACATGATTATGATGTTGGGTTGGAGGTTAGCAAGACTGCGTTTGAGATCTGAGTGCTGCCATGTGGTTGAGTGAGCTCTCATTCTTTGCTCTAGCTTCTGCCAGGGACATGAAAGAAACCCCCAACTGGGCATCCCCTGGGCAACGGTGATGTCACTGGCTAATCCTTTCAACCCGGAAGCGCCTCAGTGCTTCTGACATGACTGTGATTAAGTCCTTTTGATAGAACAAATCTCAAAATAATATCAGTTATCCCATTTAAATAGTAGGACTGTTCCTTATTCCCAAGAATAACGGAAATAGTATGTTGCCAGTTAGCAGTCAAGGCAATTGGGTCCTGTCTCTGATTCTCCAAATTGCCCTTGAAGACCACTCGCAACCTGCAGCTGGTTCAGCAGTATCCCAGGTAGTTATGGATACTTTGAAATTTGCCCATGTGACAGTTCTACAGCAGGAGCTTCTTTGCATGCTGGATACCTTCTGGGTGTAATTCAAGTTGTTAATTATTGCTTTTAAAACCCTACATAATGTGTGGCTTGGGCATCTCAGAAATGCGCTGCTAAAGTGGCATCTGCCCATTTGATGAAACCAGAAAGTATACAAAGTGTTGTTTTTAGTGATGGAATCCTCTCCGAGGTAAGGACTGCTTCTTCACTGTTAAGTTTTTGAAAACCTTTAAAGATTTGTCTCTTCCAGAAAACATTTGAGGAAGAGATGAAATGTTTAATTATTCCCAAAGTGTTGGTGCATTTGCTGCTTTAGAGAAAAAATATGTTGCAAGTGTTTGCTGTTGCTCACGATTTGAATGATTTTCACTTTAATGCTTATGTGAGGAGACTCTAAGCCACACAAAGATTTTTTGGCATAGAAACTTAAATGGACAAATAAACAAAACTGTGAATTCCATAGAAGATCTCAACAGTACACAAATACATGATTAATTAAAACATTATTTATTGATTTAAATTAATATCTAAGGTTTGCTTGTGGCATACTGTGCTGCAAAGTAGAAAGCAGATGTCCCCAGCCAACACACAAATATTTATATTTTATAGAAAGAAAATTGTATCTAGCACAAGATTGACTACTTATCGCTGTTATGATAGCCAAGCAGAACAGGCTTAATTTCCAAAATTATTAAATCCAAATCTTTAGTACTTTATGTTCATTGCCAAATTTGTCTCCCATCTAAAAGCAGCATCACAGTTAAACTTTTATTAGTAAGAGTTACATATACAAATAGGTTTTATTGACTCTTCTACAAAGTGAGCCACAAATTTAATTTAGATTTGCATTATAGAAATCATAAATAAGTTTCAATATATGAAATAAAGATAAATCATGGTTATACAATCCACGTCACAGATGCAAGGGGCCTCTTTTTGCATAAGTTCTTTACACAGTTCTTTAAAACCAGTGAGTGTTTTTTTTTTTTTAAAAAAGCTACAGTTGGCAACCAGTAGAGATGGCTTAGAATAAATGACAGGCCTAAGAACAATAACTGTCCAGGTGGAAACCTCTTTGAAACAAGAAAAGGGGTGGGGCTACAGAAGGAACATTCTGATAGGTGAAGTAGGTGGGTTCTGCAAATGATTGATGGCAGTTTAAAAAAAAAACCAGATATAAATGGCTTAACTGTCATAGCTGAAATGTTTCCTCAGGTACAATAGGCTAAGATTAATAGAATAGAAAATTTTATATAGGATTGTGATTAGAAGTTTGGAGATAAGGTGTAGTCTCCCCTTATGGAAATCTATTTGAAATTATATTCAAATAGCCTTAAATTATATTCAAATAGCCTTATATTTTCCTTCTGTGATGTAAGAAATAGTCATCTTATGTCATGGATAAATAATAACAGAACTATACAGTAGTTTTGTATTAGTAAAACTATTAATACTTAAAGTGTATAGATTTGGAAGAGAGGCTTGGATAAGAAATGCTATCTCTTATTTTAAAACATTTTGAATAGTCTGCCTCTGAGAGTACCTAAAATTCAAATAATTACTATTTTACCTCCAAAGTTGGGCACATCTCGCTTTTGTTTTTATAGGTGGACCATTAAGTCTGTAAAGTTCTGGCAAGTATGTTTTAATGGGATGCTACAGCTCTTACAGATTGTAACTATCATATATGCTGCTCTTTTATTTTTAATTGATTTTATTGAATTGATTGAATTTTCAATAGACTGCAGTCCAGCTCTACAATATTATGTTACATAGTTACTGGTGCAGCAGATTTGGCACCAGTTCCATAAAAGGAAATCAAAGCAGTCTGTGGAAAATCAAACCAGGTTGGGACTGACCAAAATCAGACACACATACAAAAAGCAAAAGGGTCAAGTTTCTATTTATATCATATCACAATAGTTACAGTATATGCAATTTGTGGAAAAATCCCTGATCAATATTTGCTGCTGTGTAGTGTAACCAATGCCAAAGTGAGAAATTGATGCACATTAAAGCAAATGCAAATCTTTTGATGGAAGTTTTAATAGATTCGTTGAAACACATTATCAAATAATTTTTTTCTCTATGTGAGCAGCACAAAGAAAAACAGATTGTAGGTGAAGTACAGATAAAAGGAAGAATTGGCAAATGATAAAATGGTTAGTGCTAATCAATAGACTTTCCTGCTTCACGGAGCTGGGGATTTACCTTTGGCAAAATGTTGATTTTACATATTTTTGAACTGTATTATACATCCTTTGATTAAAAATGATCAAAATATAAAATAGAATATTTTGATTTCTTGCTTCAAATTCCTCTAGATGCTGATCATAAACCATTCTTAAACAGCACTTTAACTGTCAGGCCAATAATATTATAATATGTGAGGTAGAAAATGAACACTTTTATTATGAATTGTAATATTTGACATTTGGCTGTGTAAAATCTGATTATAAATTGTGTCTCTGACCAAGGCTGGTGCTGTCAGAGCTTGAAATCAATTTGATATATGATTATAGCAATATTTTATAGAGATTTAGGAACTCTCCAGAGATGTATACACCTTGATGCTAATTAATGAAGAGAAGGAAGGAAGAAGCAATTAAATTTTCATTAAGATGTGACCAGAAAATTCACAATGATTTAAGCTGTTTAGAGGCTGCACTGTCCTTGAAGGCATCACTGTAGCACTAAAATGCTCATCTGGTTGCTGGCACTAGCTGTGAATTCCAATTATTAAGCTAATCAATGTAGATTAAATATTTTCATAGTCCTGCAGAGACCATCAGACAAATGGGCTATACTTGTTCTTCTTTCTTTTTTCTTTTAGTGCCCCTCAGAATATTTAATGCTTCTGCACAGCCACAAAAATTTTCAGCATTTCTCAGTTGTTCTGCTTGAGAATTATAACTCCTCAATTTATACTCCAATATTATTTTCCTAATTGCATTTCTAAAATCGTAATTATTTACTGGGGCACCAAACACTGTTTTTTAACCAGTAAGTGTGCGTTTGGATAAGTCACCTAGCAGGCAGTAGAATTTTAGATACTCTTTTGTGTATGTGTCTATGTGTAATTTCTGATCTACTAAAGCATTGAGAATATGCCATAGATTTGTTCCTTCTACAACTACTACAGATTAATGCTAATCCATATTTCACCTGGTTTGGGCATAAAAGGGATTTGTGGGCAAGAGAGGAAGAAGTATCTTGCACCGTTTCAGCACATTCCCATATCTTTTGACCTGTAGGATTCTGAAATGAACCAGTTTTTATTTTCCATCAGTTGAACAAGCTTAATTATGGTTTCTGATTAATAGTTGGAAAAAAGATAAGTATTTCATATTAAATCTCTTTGAAAATTTTGTATGGCAGCAGTCCCCAACCTTTCTGGCTTCATGGACCAACACCAGCAGGGGCGGTGGGAGGGAATGATTTTGCACGTGCAACTTAGCTGCCATGTATGCGCAAATGGATGTTCTTGCCCGCTCTTTGTGCTTGCTTGCTGCTTGTGCGGCCCGGTTCCCAACAGGCCACGGATCAATATAAATCTGCAGCTCTGGGGTTGGGGGTCTCCTGTTGTATGGTATCATTCTGATTGGTGACCTCAATTTTCTGCTATTTTTTTCTACAGAAGTCTAGTGGTTTCTGCAGTGGAAAATGGAAAGAGAGAAAGCAATCATAGAAAAAATCCTTCAATGTTTCCTATCTGTTTAATAACGCAAACAACAATTTGCTACATTCATGGCACTCAGAAGACATGTAAAAAACTTTGTGAAAAATTATTCTGAAGCTGAGGTAAAAGTCAGAGAAGCAACTTCTAATGACCCTTGGGGCCCTTCTAGTTCTCTAATGATAGAGATAAGTGACCTAACTTACAACACAATTTCCCTTTCTGAGATTATGAACATCATCTGGCACAGGATGAATGACCATGGAAAGAACTGGAGGCATGTATACAAATCTCTTACACTTTTGGACTATCTCATCAAGAATGGATCAAAGAAAGTCATACAACATTGTCAAGAGGGTTTCTTTAACATTCAGGTATTAAAAGATTTTCATCATCTAGATGAAGCAGGAAAAGATCAAGGTAAGGTTTAAAGTATTTGGATATATCCATTAAAATTAAATGGCTGCATTTGTGGGTAGTATTGAGTAGCGATACCAGATGTGAATTGCAAACCCCTGGAGAACCACTAGATGGCAGTAAAAAGATAGTGTTTTCCCTATCTTTTTGTTACCATCTAGTGGTATTCCTTGAAGATAAACGATGAGAGCACAAAATGATGCACTCTGATGCATAATAGTAAAAACGAAAACCTAAGATTATGTCAACTTCCAGTGTCAGCTAAATAACAACTAGTAAAGAGTGGAAGCAATAATACATCTTATATTTCTGGACTTAAAATCCACATAGATGAGGACTACAATATGAAACAAAAATTTCTGCTT